GCTTTGTTACGGATACCGGCCCTTATAACTTTATGCTCGGGCTAGATTAGTAGAGACGCTACTTACTAACTATCGATATAGACAAGGGCATCGTTACCCTTAGCAATAGCACCGAGTTAAAATGTTAGGTTAAGAATGGTTCTCGCCTAGCAGTGCCTAAACTCGCTAAGTCCGCTAATATTAGCGCGATAACGATTAGCGAAGCTACGTATTTAGATAAGGAAGAGGAAGGATATCTAGTTTACGAGATTACCGATAGCACCCTCTCCGAGGAAGAGGCCGTTACGGTCGCTGCCCTCTACATCTATGCGATGTTACTAGAAGATAAGGAGATTTACTTCCGTAGCAAGCTACCCGTCGACGAGGAGAAGGCTAAGGAGCTCCTCCCTTCTAAATTCGAAGAGTATTAGGACGTCTTCTAGTAGGCGCGTATAAGGAAGCTCCCTCTATATCGAGAAGGTATTAACCTTGCTATTAATTTCAAACCGGATGCTAAGCTGCCGATTAATCGACTACGGCCGATAAATCCGGAGGAGAACGAGGTAATTAAGAAGCACGTAGATAACCTTCTTGCGAACAGCTAAGCTAGACGCTATATTAGCTCTCGAGTTGCTTTACTATACTTAATTATCCGCAAACTAGGTAGAGGTCTAAGAGTATGCGTAGATTACCGTACTATTAACGAGATTACGGTAAAGAATAGATACCCGATCCCTTAAATACGCGAGACACTAACTAAGCTATGTCGTGCTAACTAGTTTACGGTACTCGACATTATCGCCGCCTTTAACCGAATTCGTATCCGCGAAGGCGACGAATAGAAGACAGTATTTAGCATACGATACGGAACCTTCGAGTACTTAGTAGTTCCTTTTAGACTATGCAATGCACTAGTAGCTTTTCAGAGCTATATTAATACTGTACTGTACGACTTTCTAGACCGGTTTTGCTCCGCCTATCTCGATAACACTGTCGTATTTACGGAAGGCGAGCGCGAGCTATATATCGAGTATATTAAGGCAGTGTTATAGAAGTTTCGGGAGTATAAGCTACTAGTAGACATTTAGAAGAGCAAGTTCTTTGCTAAGGAGATTAAGTATCTCGGCATTATTATTACTCCTAGCGGCATTAAGATAGACTAAGCTAAAGTAGAGGCAATCCTAGCGTAAGAGGTTCCGAAGAATGTTAAGGACGTACTCGCATTCCTCGGCCTCGCTAACTTCTATCGACGCTTTATCTAGTAGTTCTTAGCGATCGCATTGCTATTAACGAATCTAACTAAGGGTACGAACATTAAGGACCGGAGGCTGCGCCCGGTGTAGCAATAGACGCCTAAGTGCTAGTAGGCTTTCGACAAGCTAAAAGAAGCCTTTATAAAGGCCCCTCTACTAAGGTACTACGACCTAGATCGACCTTGTACGGTATAGACTAATGCCTCCGACCGTGTTACTAGAGGTATTCTTTCTTAACCAGATAATATAGGAGTGCTATACCTAGTAGCTTTCTACTCTACGAAGATAAACCCTGCCGAGTGTAACTACGAAATCTATAATAAGGAATTAATAGCTATCGTTAAAGCTTTCGAGGAATGGCGCCCTAAGCTAATAGGTACGGCGGATCTAGTATAAGTATACTTAGATTACCGGACATTGGAATATTTTATAACTACGAAATAGCTTAACAGACGACAAGCCCGCTAGAGCGAGTTCTTATCCGCCTTTGACTTCAAAATCGACTACCGCCCTAGTAAGGATAACGTAGTCGCCGATGCTCTAACGAGGCGATCTTAAGATTAAGATAGAGCGGCGGATGTGGCTAATCGCTAGCAGACTATCCTTAAGGATAGGAATGTAACTGACGCCGTTCGCTCTGCCCTATAAGTAGCAAGTTTACAGGTTGATAATCTAACTATAGCAGCTAGAGATCAGTACTAGCTCGCTTTAGCGGTCCTATAGGTTATTAAGGTCGAGGGACAACAACCTTCTAAGGAACTAATCTAGAAGGCGTATAAATACGACGAAGTCTCGCGAGCTATCTAGTACGCATAGAACGCGAATGCACTACGGCTAAAGAAGACTAAGCTAGATACACGCATCTTAGTCGTTAACTGTAGCATTAATGATAATAGAACTATTAGGGTTAAAGGGAAGATCTACGTGCCTAACGAAGACGGGCTACGTGCTAAAGTTATACGCGTGCACTATAATTATTCTATAGGAGGGCATCTAGGCCTAGAGCGAAGGGGGGGAGGGGTTTCAAGAGAGTTCTACTAGCCTAGGATATATAACGACGTACGACGATATGTATATATATGCTATAGCTGCAAGCGGGTTAAGGCATAGCATAATGCGTTCTAGGGCAATCTAAGATAGCTGCCGCTTCCTAGTAGATCGTATCGGGAGATTACGATAGATTATATAGTTAAGCTGCCGCCCTTAGTCTCTCGCCTAGATAGCAATACGTACTAGTATGTTCTTACTATTATATGCCGATTAATAAAGCGAAAGCACTTCCTGCTAGCTAAGGACCTTACTACCGAATATGCTACTAACCTATACTACTAGCATATCTAGAAAGATTAAGGATTCTCCGAGGTTATATACTTAGACCGTAGGTCGCAGTAGATGTCGGCGTTCTTTAGGCGTCTCTAAGCCAACATCGGTACTAAATAGCGCGTATCTACTGCTTTCTATCCGTAGACAGATAGCTAGTTAGAGAACACTAACAAGGAGATAGAACAGCTATTACGAGTATACGTCAACTATATACAGGATAATTAGGTCAACTAGCTACCGAGCTACGAGTTTGCCGCTAACAGTGTACAGTCTAGTGCGACTAGTGTTTTACCCTTCTTTGCGACGCTTAGCCGCTACCCGCGTTCCCGCGCTAAGCCTCTAAAGCTCGACCTACCCTCTAGTCCAACTACGAGCGTACAACTTAGAGCAGATAAATTCGCAATATAGATAGAACTTCTAACATAGTACTGCATTACGTAAATACGCTACGCATAAGCGCGCACTAAGTCTGCAGCGTCCGGAAGGCATCTAGCGCGCGAACATCGAGTTAGCGATAAGGTATAGTTAGATATACGCGATATTCTAACGAAGCGGCCTAGCAAGAAACTTGACTATAAGCACTACGGCCCTTTTAAGGTTATTCGAGTTATTACGCCGGACGTCTATTAGCTCGAACTGCCCCTAACTATACGTATTACCGACCGCTTTTATATAAGCAAGTTGCGCTTAGCAGTCGATAAGCGCCCGTTTCCGAACTAGGTCGACACCGAGCCGCCGCTAGAGGCCGACGAATTAGGCCGACAGAACTAGGAGGTAGATAAGGTTGTCGCTAGTCGATAGAAGAACAAGCGCTCTAAGAAGGAGGTAATCTACACTGTTAAGTAGATCGGCAGCGGAGAGTATACCGACAACGAGTACGAGCTAGACCTAAAGGATACTACTAAATACGCTATTGCGGATTGGCACTATAACAATCCTCGTATAGATAGTCCTCCGAAGGGATAGAGTGCTCCGGAAGATTAGATACCGAATGAGCCTATTAAGCGTACGCCTATACCGACACGCCTTATACGATCTCGGTTAGTAGTATAGGATGTTAACTACACGGCCGAAGTGTTAAACTATCGCCGGCACGGCCCCTTATTGCCGTTTAGAAACACGTATATAAGGGCACCGACTGCGAGATCTATATATACCGCTCGAGTACTATTAGTATAAGGACCTTGCCGCTACCGTTGTCGCTATTAATAGCCTCTGTTACTACGAGGCAACCGACACTTAGTTCGACGATTTGTATTAATAAAGGATTATCGTGTTTGTTGTTTGTTTTAGCGATTATTATACTAGCGCTTGTAGGCGCAGAGCGTATTTAGAAGGGGGGGGGTAGTGTTACGGGTAGACCCTAACTTATATATAATTGATGCCTAAGACATCAAGGCTTAGCGCGACGCGGCTTCTTAGCTTCGGCTTCGCGTACCTCTCTCTTCGCTCCTACGTAGACGTGCTTAATACGAGAGTTACTTATATACTCGCCGTCCCTATATTACAAATCCTCTAGTTTAGTAAGGAAGAGCTTAGGGACTATCTATACGAGTAGGAGAAGGCTATATAGGACAAGGCTACTAACCTCCTCGTTAATTAGGCTTACTACGAGGCCGAATACTTTAGTACTAATAGCTTTAATACCTATAGAGGAGTTTAGGAGGATCGACTAGCTAATAAGGTTATTACTAGTAAGGATTACGGTATATTAAAGCAATAGTAGAGCGTAGTAGATTAGTTACTTAGGAAGTTGTTTCTATATATTACTAGAATCTAGGAATAATGCTACTCCGGGGGTGTTATTACAGAGTTTCTAAAAATAGCCTTAGCTAATATACCTAAGATAACTGCATAACTGTTTGTTTCTTTCGAGCGCGCAATGTAAAACGTATCTAGTTAGATATAAAGAAAGGGAGGGATATTAGCTAGTAACCGGCCCTATACCTATAGGCTAGTTTAGAGCCTATATAAGAGGCCTCCTTCGGTATAGTAGACAGATTATTAACCTCGTATAGTACATTGTTTATATTACACTTCTATAATGCCTATATTGCAGGGCTCTAGTTACTAGTCTAAGCGATAGTCTCGTTATACTATTATACTAAATATAGCTGCCTATATTGCTATAGGTTATATTACCCTCGGTTGCCTATACTATTACTACTAGTAGTAGTAGTAGTGTTAGTTTCCGTCCTTTAATAGTATACTACTAACTTCTATCCTCGAGGGTCTAGTTCGAAGTACTTTATATAAAGCGCCTATTTATAAAGAGCTCGGTACTTTAATTTAGAGTAACTTCCTACCGAATCTAAGGGAACTCTCTCTCTAATAGCCGCTTAAGAGTATACTCTTAATTTCTGTTCTCGAGGATCTAATATAGCTCTAGCCCTAAGACTCCCGATTCGCGGTAAAAGCCTTCGCTTTTAAGTTTAGGGGCATGAGTTAATCAGGACATGTTCGTGGAGAGCTCGATCCTGTACTTGAAGAGGACATTTCGTACCGAATCTGAGAGAATTCTCTAGGCTATGCCATCAACTATCGCACTCAACAACTCAGCCGTGTTCTCAGTCCGTGAAGTGGTCACTGTTCTTCGAATCAACACACCTAGATTCTCTCCTCAAGGCGATTGAGACCATGCTGTCAATTGCCGTTCTGATATGCTTCATGACTGTCCACAGACTGTGGAGCAAATGCTAGCAAGATAGCGCGCCGTCCACAGGAACAAAGTCTTCTGTCACGCCATCTCTTCTTTTCTACCCGTCTGAGACTATACCACTGACCACCTTTCTCCACGGCTGAACCATGTCCATAGACTCGGAAGCAGCTGTCGGTGAGAACTTGGCACACACACATCAGCATGATCTTATTCTCCCCTAGCAGCTCGAGACTCAACCATTGACCACCGTTCTCGGCGGCTCAATTCTGCAGCTGCTGGTGAGAACCTGTCATATATATCTTACGTCAACATGATCTTCTTCTCCCTTGGCAGCTCAAGACTTTGCCAATGATTTCCGCTTCCGATAGAAAATTCCAATTCGCACATTGTGAAGCAGCTGCACGCCATTCAAATCAGCACAGTATTCCCACGAACATTCAGGCATTATGCATGAAGTAGAACCGATCACAAAGACTTGATAACCCCCTCTCAATTTCTCATACACAAATACATTCTTAGAATACATTGCTTCATCTCATACCTCATACCTCACATCTTATCATTTCTGTCCACCTGGAATCCGCTTATTGACTTGTCCGTCGGCAAACTTGTTGATCTTGTCGTCGTACTTATCACCGAGGCCGGCACGGTCAGTGGCGGAGTCAACTTCTGTATGTTGTGTGTTAGTCAGTGCTGTTTCAGAAGAGGAGGAAATGCTTACGCTTGTGGACTTGACTATTAACGCCCTTCTCAATTCCAGATGGCTGATTACCAGAAGCGCCGCCAGAGCCGCCGCTCGAGACTTTGTCCTTGACCTTGTCCATGAGTCCAGACATGTTGATGATGTAAGTTTTTGTTTTGTGGTGTTTGGGATGTGTTGTTGTTGTTGTTACTTGCTTGGTCTGAATATGAAGAGGATAACTCGTTCATATATACCTACTGGAGCAACAACTTCAACGTCATTCCCCAATGCCTTCGATAGTGCTGCCAACTCGGTGCCTTGTTATGCCAACTTCAGATCTTGGAACGTGGCCACGCTAAACGATTCATCTCCAAAGAGAACAACCTTGGAAGCATGATTGCGTGCTGCCACGCGTTGGGAGGTGTGGATCTTCAGGGCAGGAGGCATAATGACGATGCGTGACCCACATGCGAGGTACAGGTACAGCTTTGGAGCTGAGCTGAGTCGGCGCGGAGCTGGTCAGGCTGAAATGATACGTCAATGGCAACATTGCGAGCTGTCGTGATCGGCAAACAGTCAGAGCATCAAGGGCCATTGGCTGTGATGTTGTTGTAGTCTCTTCCGTCGAAGCAACGTCATCGCCAGGTTGTTGTAGAGTCTGAGACTGCCTGCGTAGTTCTGGTCACATCCTTCGCTGCTTTTGCCAAGCATTTGCTTTGTCATCTCGATCCATACTTGGCTCGCTTTTCAAGTGCTCGACGACTCTCGACGAGACAAGTGCCAAACGATTCAAATAAGTCTCATTAGAGCGTACTGAAGCCTCATTGATTAGCCCGAACATTGTAACGGCTTTGCCTTGCGATGCAGTGTGACAAGTCCTGGAATCGATGCCAGACCGAACAGCGAGACGAGAATTGAGCCATACGAGATTCTATCCAACAATTCATTGCTTGAGGACATGTACCGCCTTGACGGTATGACTGGGCGGCTGTCGCGGTTGCTTTCCAGGGCATGTCGTACTGGCCTCGCAACGGTAGTCTGGCGGGCGTTCTTACTTGTTGCGCGCGAATCCATGCTTCGATTGACAAGTTCGACCAGACATTCGCTGAAGCAGAGAAGTCACTGGCGGGAGTAAGACCTCGAAGCCACTTCCACCTGTCTTCCATGTCAACACAGCACGCAGCATAGACTCTCCAGCACTCTGGGATCATGGCGAGTAAGCCGCAGGACAAGGCGAATGCGCCGCGGGACCTGGACGACACGCCGCAATACAAGGCGGACACGCTACAGTACGTCTTTCAGGTCGACAGCAATCCATTCTGGCCATTGATCAACCAGTTCCTCCGCATGCCGGAGTGGGACATACCCGAGAAGATTACAGCCGCCTTCAATGACTACGAGAATCCAGCAGTAGTTCTGGCTGAACTGTGGGAAGCTTTCTTCGTCGCTGTTGCGACAAGTGGTGATCACAGATACCACCTCGGTCTTCTTGGCTGGCTTCGCAAGCAGGCCACGATATCGTCATCCGAGAGCTGGAGGTCGGAGAGCGCCAACGAACTGAGCAGGTATCCTCCGCACGATGGAACGCTGAATTGGTAAGTGGCCGGACGACATGGCATGTTGGAGACATGTATGTTGAAAGTTCACAGGTCTTTTCTGCCAGGTATCGTCGAAACATGGCAAAGAATGGACGGCGCTCTTTTGAGTCGCCGACACTCATTTAGTCCTCAATCAGACAGACCAAAGGATCCGTTCTCAATGGTGGCCATGATTCGAGGAGCAGAAGAAAGAGGCACCACAGAATATTTCTGTTTTATAAGCTTCTCGGCTTATTGCCTCCACGAAACATCGATGAACAAATTCCCGCGTGTTTCCCATCCGGTCAATGTTTTGTACGCTTGCAAGGCTGGTCTGGAGCGACGCGTACCGGATGACTCTCATCAATACCGCTTGTGGTCGATCGATGTCCTTATCGCAACGGAGTGGCTCAGAGCTGCCGGTTGGGTGCTCTGGAAAGTCGGAGACGCAGGCATCAGAAAGGACCACGCTGCAGCTCTGGCAGCAGATACTCCCTTGTGGAAAGGCGGAGATGCCTTGACGCCGGCACGCTGGGCACTCTGGGCGAAGCAGTTGAAAGTCGCAGACGTGTCAATGATGTGCATGAGTACTCGAGTCTCTATCATCCGGGCATACAAGGAAATCGAAATGTGGCTCCGGATGGACACAGCATAATTATCCCGAGCATCGGATTTGGAGATGGGAGCAGTTCTGGGGCATATTGGTAGCGCCGCAGTGGTGCACTCATGGAATTTGGCAGACCTTTGTTGCGCAAGAAGTTTGAAAGTATGTTGTTTTGGTCGGTTGCAAAGGAATAGTGTTTGCAGAACAGGGTGGGAAGTACTGTACAGTAGTTGGATACAGTCAGTATACTGTATATGGCTCTTGCAAACAAACGCTGGGAAGTTTTCCCCACGACATTTGGCCAAGTTCATCAAACCTCCTCTCAGCGCCCAACGCGTGCCAGTCTTCATCACTCACACATCTACAGCAGGCAATGATGGACATCCATTGCAGAGACGAACTGGCTTGGCGGGATGCTTTGCGCGAGGCTGACATGTGAAAACGCCGATTCTCGCGTGTCGCTGTCGCTGTCTGCCCAGCGGCGATGGCGTGCTCGATGTTGACCCACTCGCCATCGCCAATTTTTCATCGCCATCGCCGCCGCCATCGCCATCAATTCATCAGTCCACCGATACTGGCCGCATGTAGGCTAAATGATCAAGTATACTATAACACATGCTAAGTCTCTTCCACATTATTCATTCATCTCCTCACAACCCCAACATCTCGACATCCCACTCACACCCTGGCCCGGACCATCACCACCACCACCATGGCCTCCTCCTCCTCAGACGACGCCATCCCCCCACCCCCATCCAAGAAACCCTCCATCTTCCGCTCCGTCCCCTTCCAAATCCTCGTAGCATGCGGCGTATCCTTCACCGCCCCAGGAATGTGGGACGCTCTGGGCGGCCTCGGAGCCGGCGGCGCAGCCCTCCCCTACGCCGTCTCAGCAGCCAACGCACTAGTGTACGGCCTCTTCGCCGTCGTCTGCGTTCTCGCCGGCGCAATAAACAACCGCATCGGCCTCAAGTACGGCCTCGCCCTCGGCTCCCTCGGCTACCCCCTCTACGGCGCAGGCCTGTACACCAACAACGTCAACACAAACACCTGGTTCATGCTCTTGGGGTCCGCGATCTGCGGGATCTCCGCGGGCTTTTTCTGGGCGGCGGAAGCGGCGATCATCATCGGATTCCCGGCACCTGGCGATCGAGGCTTTTATCTTGCGGTCTGGCAGACGGCGAAAGCGGCAGGGCCTATTGTGGGCGGGGCGATCAATTTGGGATTGAATGTTAAGACGGATACGAAGGGGAGTGTTTCGAGTACGACGTATTTGGTTTTTATCGGGATCATGTGTCTGGGGTTACCCATCGCGTTGTGTTTATCTCCTGCGCGGAAAGTGTGGAGGAGAGATGGGACGAAGATTCTTACTCGGATGAACGAGAGCTGGGGCGAAGAATTTCTCGCGGTGGGGAGACTTTTGGTGAGTCGAAGGATTTTGTTATTGCTGCCGGCGTTTTTCATCAGCTATTTTTATAATGGCTTTGTGAGTACCTGGCTCACGACGTATTTTACCGTGCGGGCGAGGGCGTTTTCGAGCTTTCTTACGAACTTTGCGGGGATTTTCAGTTCGTTTATCATTGCGGCGCTTTTGGATAATCAGAAGGTTGCGATGAATTTGAGGGCGAAGATTGGGTTTGTTGCGATTGTTACGGTTTTGATCGGGACGTGGGTTTGGGCGACGATTCTTCAGAAGCAGTTTTATGATGCGGGCGAGGCGCCGGTCTGGGACTTGTTCAAGGGAGGGTTTGGGAAAAGCTATGCTTTGGTTTTCTTTGTGAGTAAATTACGGCCTCGATTCACCTGCTTTCCTCCACTAACACTCCCATCTTCACCTCAGTGGCAATTCGGAGGCCAAGCATTCCAGCAATTCCTCTACTGGCTCGTGGGACAGTATGCCACCGACCTCAGCGATCTCAGCCATCATACCGGGATTTTAAGAGGCACCGAGGCGCTCGGACAGACTGTTGCTTGGGCCATGCAATCTGAAGGCAATGCGAACCATTTTGTCAGCATTGGTTTGAATTTTGGCCTCACTGTGCTTTGCATCTTTCCTACCTGGATCGTGCTGTCGGAGTTAAGGGAAAGTCATGAGGTGGAGGTGCATGAGAGCATTGAGGATCATGGTGGCGATGATGTGGAGGCTGTGAAAGGAACCTCGAGGGCCAGGGCTTCTTAAACCATCACACATCGCTTCATCTCCGCCATCACCAGTGCGTCGGGTTTTCTCATCGTCAAAGATCACGTTCTTTCGTCGAGCTCGATCGCGGCTGGCTGGCTGGCTCGTTTCGACGTCTGGCATATCACAAAGTATACTGGAAACCTGCCAGTCCCTCAGTCCCGCCGAGTCCCGCCCTCTTGTTTGCCTTCACGAACGACAAATCTAGCAACAGGATGATGACGAGACTCAGCACCATAGCTCCAATGCACAGCCCATACCCATGGTAGAAGTGCGGCCTGTCATACATCCTGAAAGCAAAAGCGCCCACCAGCCCTCCCGTAGCCCCGGCTCCGATGCTGAAAGCTGATACCAGAGCTCGTCTCCATTGCCCTCTGATGTTGTTTGCTTGCCAGGTGAGGATGGCAGGGACATTGGCGCAATTCGGGAGGACGGCGAAAAAGACGCCAATATACTGGGTGATGTTGTTGGTAGCGAACGCCATCATGCTTAGACCTGTTCGAGTGTTAGCGAAAGCCTCGGTGGTACAAGGGTGTGCACGCACCGACAATGGTCCAGCAGTAATTTGCTATCAAGAATGGTGATCGAAGCTTCGTCTTGTCTGAGAAATGAGCAGACACACGGCCGACAATTGCTCCGAAGATGTAAGGTGGTGCAGTGAGTGCCATCGCTTTGGGAGGGAACGTGAAGTTCATGTCCTCGATCATCATGATAGGCAGTGCGAAGGCTACGGCATAGCCAACAAAGGCACTCAATCCGTGAAGTGCTGCGAATGACCAGATTTTGAGGTCCCAAATATGTTTCAAGTAGTCGCTGACGATAAATCTGGCAAGACTTGTAAGCACAAAAGTTTCTTATCAACAAAGCTGGGACTTGACACGAACGGTGTAGGTAACACGTCCTCGCGATCGCGATCGATGCGCTCCACGACCCAGGTGGCTTCCTCTTTTGTCAAGAACTTGACATATGAACGCGCGCCTTGCACGATCTTCTCCGGGAAGTCGACTATCAGAAAGAAGGCTACCATGCTGGTGAGACAGGTCACGCCGCCGTTTAACAGGAATATCCATCTATCTCACATCAGCTGAGCCCTGCAGACTTTCTTGCTCGAACAATGTTACCTCCAGCCAGCAAGGCCTGGCCCATACTCTGCATTAGGATTGGAAACGGGCGCGGTAGCGTTGGGAGGAGGGCTGTAGGCGGGATAGCCAAAAGCTACGTTCTTGTAGTGAACACCCCACCAATCTGGTCCATGTCCGAGACCTTCCAGTCTCCAGACGCCGGCAGCATTCAGACCGCTCAGAGATGCCGGTATGAGGCCAATCAGGAAGAAATCCGCGTTTGCTTTGGCCAGATCATATCGAGGAAACCAGCATTGCAGCAGATACATGCAACCTGGGAAGAGGCTGCGACGGAGCGGAGTCAGTGACCGAGGATGGTTAGGGGCGCGGCGCGCAAGTAGCAATACTCACCCAGCTTCCCAAACACCAAGCATGAGACGCAGGACGAGCAACTGTGTCCAAGACTTCACGAAACCGGAGGCAGTTGTGGTAATTCCCCAGAGAAATGTGGTCGTCGTAAGGAATGTGCGAGGCCCGAGTTTTCGTAGTACCACAGTTGAAGGGAGAAGCAAGAGAAGGTAGGGTACAAAGAGCATGGCGTTGAGAATGTTGTAACGTTGGCCGCTTAATTGTAGGTCTCTCCCCATGCCGGCAATCAATGCAATGCCCATAGTCGTTCTATCGATCAAGGACAGCGAGTACATCGCTCCCAAAAGTATGACGACTCTTCGAGCGATGCATTTCCTGATGTACTTCTGGTCATGTTTACTGAAAGAGTTCGATAGGGAGTTCCAACCTGTTCCGAGCTCTGCCGCGTCGTTCGAAGGGCGATTGTTGGGAGGGATCAGGGCGGTGCTTGAATTTTGCCGGATGAGTGCGGATTGTGGATCGAAGCCATTAGATGTGGAATTGTTTTCGTGTACTGTCTGTAAAGTCAATGTCGGTCTCAGTGGGTAGTTTGCCATGCTCGAAGCAGGAGTGGACGCCGAATGGCTGTAAGTGGCCTGTCAGATCACTCATTGGCGATCATCTACAAGTTGTAATCAAGTCGTGGACTGTTCGTGAATGAGAGCGGGGGTGAACCGAGCTGCTGGAGAGCCATCTAAAGAGCGGTGGAGTGCTAGAATCGTTCTGAGTCCGGGTGGTCAGCACACTTTGTACAGCTTTCCAGCTGCAATAATAAATGATTTCATGCAATCAGCGTGTATAGGGAGCTGACGTCTCCTCGCTCGTGATACCCTTCCGCTGGGAGGGCCGCCCAAGGGTTGGGTTTTGCGTAGGTAGGGATCAGGCTCGAGCCCAGGACCACTCGCCAAGTCTCAATATTAACGGCCGTGACGTTCAGAGCCTACCGATCTTGGCTGCGATGGTCTTTGCCCGACAGCGGGATGGAGGGCATCGGTGTGTGGTCCCCTTGCTTGCTGCTGCCTTGAATCATGCGGTGACGAGGCGCTACGAGGTGGGTGCTGTATTGAAGATGAGGAAGCTATCAGCGCTTATGGTGTGCCAGTGCGTCTCGGATACAGCCTGATGCGATCTCCGGAAGTCTAATCACACGGACTCACGGAGCAGCGACGGCATGCGCCAAGCCTCGGATCAGCGGCTTCAAAGAGTCAATGCTGCAATGCGCGTCTCATCGTCTTCGTCTTCTTCAATCAACTTGTTCCCGTGACAAGTATCATTAATGATACACTTCACGACAGTCCCAAGGAGGCTGCAGCACCATCCGACAAAATGGAACGCATCCTTCGAGATACCGCAATGCAAGCAGCATCGTCCAAAAACGCTCTCTCTATCTTCCCTCATGAAGCTGGCTCGAACGCGCGCCTCGACGACATTACTACTTCAAAGAGATGCATACTTCAAGAGGAGGATTGAAGAGTAGTAGAGGAATCAAGGCAAAATGGACATTCGCAGAGAACATGTATACCACCGCAATGTGGATAGTATTTGTCGACTAGAATGGCGACAGCTCCACGCTCGGCGCTCGGCCGACGCCCTCCAAGTCGCTGTACAATCTCCATCCGTAATTGAGCCCCTTGAGATTGAACCGCAGCTTCTTGTTCATCGCATCGATCCGAGCCATGTCCTCCGCCGCCAGCTCGAAATCGCTGTCAAGGTTCTGCTCAATCTGCCACGGAATCGTGCTTTTCGGAATCACGCATCTGCCTTTCGAAATGCCCCAAGCTAAAGCAACTTGTGCAGCAGACTTCGAATACTTGCGGCCGATCTCGTGCAGCACTGCATCCTCAAGTACCTTGGGCATGGACTGACCGTGCTTGTAGAAAGTGTTCTGATTTCCGAACGGGCTGAACTGGATGAGCTGAATACCGTGCTCGCGATGCCAGGCGGTAAAGCTGTGCTGTGCGAGATAGGGATGGAGTTCCTGTCAGTCGAAATGGTCAGCATCTACTTCCTGCTCAACACAAAACGGCCGAGAGCACCATTTGATGAACAGCTGGGACCTGCCCGAAGTCAGCACGTCGGACTTTGACTGCCATTATTGACGACTTACTACACTCCCTTTCTCAAGAATCGTCTCCATCTCTTCCTTACTGAAATTGGACATTCCGATCGCCTTTACCCTACCGGTCTTGAGAAGTTCCTCCATCGCCTTCCAGCAGTCGACGTAGTCATGCCCTTCCGCCATAAGCATCTCTCCACTTGCGTCCTCTCTGGGAAATCTATTCGGTCCCCTCTGGAAGCTGCAAGGATAGTGCATCAACAGTAGATCCAGATAGTCGGTCTGCATGTCTGCAAGAGAATCATTGAGCGCTGGCTCAACATCGTCAGGATGATGGCTATTTGACCACAGCTTGGTTGTCAAGAATATGTCCTCCCTAGGTACGCCACTCTTTCGCATCCCGCGGCCGACCTGCTTTTCCGTATCATACACTCGAGCTGTGTCTATGTGCCGGTACCCGACCTTCAGTGCTGTCGCTACGGCATCTTCTTGCTCGTCTGGATCCTGAAACGTTCCTAATCCTATGGCTGGTATCTTAGCGCCTGTATTGAGGGTAAATGTCTTGAACGAGCGATTAGACGGGCTGAATAGGCGTCTTGTTACGGGTAGAGAGGATGGATCACGAATGGAGGCGAGATTGAGCTTGCTCAGTGATCTGGACCACATACTTGCTACGCCGACGTCTTCGTGTAGCTGCGGAAGTGATTAAGCAAGCTCTACTATCTCACGAGAGGATGGGAGTAGCTACAACAGGCCGTCGCCCGAAAATGAGCATAGCTCTCCACGTCCAACGTCAGAACCCAGCCGGCCAAGCAACGCACATACAGCATAGCTTGCTTGCTGAGCCGTGAGCATCTGACAGACCAGCAAGGAACGCGATGTGCAAATGTGGCGCATCTGCGAAGTGCTGTCTCCTCTGAAGATCAGGATACCTGCATACAGCAGCGCAAAGTGGGGCCAAGCGGAGGAGAGCACACCTCATGCATGATGATCGGCCAAGGAGCCGACACAAGGGTAGCTGCAGGTCATGCCGGCTAAAAGAGAGAGTACATGTCTACCACAACACTCAATTCAGCATGTAAACCAATGAGTTTGCGCAAGAAATTCCCACGATGTCTGGACTCCTGGCTGGAAAATCCGCAGCCATCACAGGCGGCGTCACCGGAATTGGAAAAGCCATTGCTCTCGAATTCCTCCGACAAGGTGCATCTGTAACAGTCAACCACCTCGACGACCAAGCTTCCAAAGCACACTTCGATTCCCTTCGCAAAGAAGTCCCAGACAAATCCAAACTCCAAGCCGTAGCAGGCTCGGGGTTCATAGTAAATGTTCAGACGCGAGGTTCCATGCCAGACCCACTCCAAAACACCTTTCAATTCGCTGAGACGCGTCGGCACGCGCAGGGGCTGGGCCGAGCCGCTTCACAGCGCATAACATCGTGTCGTGTCGCATGTCACAGAGCGCCGTGTGTATAAGAGCAGAGCAGGCGCTCGTTCATCGATATTATTGTGCTGTGGAGTCCGAAACACTCCCTGTCTGACAGAGCCAATAGGCCGGGCTGCACTTCTGCATTCATCGGGAAAGTCGCTCGCTCTTTCTTCTTTGTCTTCTGTTTGCGACTTCCTTGCGTCACTCTTTCCTTTGCCCGCAGACTCGATCGCAGATTCGGTATTGACAGCGTCATCGCAGCTCATTGACAGCACGACGAGCGCCTCACGGCCTTCCACAGCATCGGCATCGGCATCAGCATTTCCACCTCCCAACATGGCGACAGCGACAGCGACAGCGACAGCGGGCACCATCGCGGTTGACCATGCGGTGCAAGAGAAGATGCCTCCAGCCAATGGCGTCGTCTCGCAGCCTCCTCCGCCTGCTGCTCAAGACCCAACGCGAGGCGCTCCCGGTCAAGACGAGGAAAGTTTCGTGCCACGGCCCATGTTCCATCAGCAAAGTGTCCATCCCGTCGACATCGAGGACTATTTCAAAGGTCCCCGAGACACCGGCCGCCACTCGAAATGGCCCAGTTTCATGCGAATGCACGGCTCGATCTTGCCCAAAATGATAGTGCCTCTGTCATTTGTGGCCGCGTGGGCCACTCTGATCACCTGCATCTCCAAGCTCATGCATTCGCTTCAAGTCGACTCAATCCTTCTGACCATGACTGGTTTCGTCGTGGGCTTGGCCCTTTCCTTCCGCTCAACCACTGCCTACGAGCGCTATGCAGAGGGCCGGAAATATTGGGCGCAGCTCTCACTCAACGCACGCAGTCTTGCTCGCCTCATCTGGGTGCATGCTCAAGAGTGAGTACAGCACAGAAGGCCGACATTCACGCTACTGACTCACTATCTATCCTAGACGCCACGAGGAGTCCACAGAGCTTGGTAAACATGACCTACTCGCCAAGCTCGCTGCACTTCAACTGATCAATGCCTTTGCCGTTTCTCTGAAGCACAGGCTGCGTTTCGAGCCTTCCATCGAATATCCAGATCTTGCTCCGCTGCTGAGCCACCTGCACACGCTTGCGGGAGACGCCGACCAGAGCATGCTTCATCAGCGCAGAGTCTCGAAAATCAAGTCAATTGGCCAATCCCTGGGCATTCCGATGGCTGAGGATAATCCACGTCAACTGTTGAAGACGTCGAAAGACAATCTCGGCAATACGCCTTCGGAGGTCATTGCCTATCTGGCCTCATACATCGAAAGTAAGCTGCGAGAGCGCATGACTCGCCAGCTGCATATGCTGATCGTTCCGCAGACATATTCCAGAACAAGACCTTGACGATTAGTTGTCATCAGGGCCAAGCTATGAATATGCTTTTCAACTTCAGCGATGTCTTAGCAGGCTGCGAGCGTGTGGTGAACACACCTCTTCCCGTCGCTTACTCCATCTCGATCGCTCAAATCACCTACGCCTACGTCTTCGCTCTTCCTTTCCAGCTCGTCGGGAGGCTCCACTGGGTTACCATCCCAGGTACCATAATAGCAGGATACATCATCCTTGGCCTCGCACAGATTGGTCGGGAATTAGAGAATCCATTCGGCCAAGACGTCAACGACTTGCCCTTGGACTCATTCTGCACCGAGATTGCGAACGACATCGACACCCTGACTTCCACCCCTCCGCCGCTCGCCGATAAGGCCTGGATGCTTCACTCTGGCTCCAAGCTCCTCTGGCCCCTCAGCAACATGGAGTTCCAGGCGTGGGAGAAAAAGAGTGTGGCTGAGATCAGGGCGGCGTTAAAGGCGAAGGCGGAGAGTCGTGACGTGAAGCACAATCGTATAGCGACCTTTGTCGAAAGCAAGGGGCTTACAAATGAGCATAAATGATAGAATAATAGAGGGAGGCAGCTGGAGAAGTTGGAAAGCGTTGCAGCGATATTATAGCGAGTGATTTAACGATATTTTCGGCGTAGGTGCATCAACATGGCGTAACGCTAGGCGCTTGGTTCTTCTTGTGTTTTGGATCTTTGATGGCATGGGAGAGGGAGATTAGATTAGATTATTATGAAGGGTACAGACTACAGAGTGAGGTCACCTGCATATAGGAAGTCGATCCGGACCTGACATTGCAATTTGCAATTTGTGGCTTTTCTCTACAGTACACCGGCAAAGATGTGCACTAAATAATTTGCTAGGGAAAGGAAAGCTGAAGGGGTCTTCTGTAGAGTGGTTTTATGTATGTAGGTGACACTGTGTAGTGGGAAGTATTGGAATTGGAATGGTGTGGCTCGTAGTACTGGGGGTTTTTTCATCTAGGGACTGAGAATGAGGTGTCTAGGGAGTAGTGTGGGTTGTAGTTGGTAGGAGAGACCTGCTATCAGGACTCTCAGGAGCTGAAGACAAGTTTTTCCATCGAACTCCGAGGTTGTTTGGAGCTGATTTTGGTGAGATTCTGGAGTGTGCGATCGTCGCTGCAGGTGCTGCACTTGATCAAATAGAACTATCTCTAGCGTGGTGTATCAACTGCTTAAGTCAAGTCCATAGGCGATCGCACTTTCTGTGAACATGGTGGAGAGACTACTGACCAAGCACGAATCATCAACGAAGGCAATCACATCTTTCGATACGCGACACTTAGCATATACAACGGACTCGACGTATTCATCTCTCCCGCAACGACTCATCTAGCAATAATCCATCAACCAAAAACACTAACATCCTATCCCATCCTATCCAAATATCCTTAGTGGAATAGAGTTCAACAACCGCGTGCTACTAATCCCCAATCCGGCATCGATACTAAGAGAAGCTCACACTAGAACCTGCATCCAAAAACACACGACTACTACCAGCCTCGGCCGCATGCCGAACTTCACCTACATACTTTTCCGCACACACGAAAACTTGTAATGACTCGGTGCAAGAACGTTGGAAGTGGTGTAGTCTGCGGACTGGACTCCTTAAGATCTTCACTATCGAAACTATATGTCGACAAACCCCTCAAGAACACCGGTAGTGCAGCCGCGGAGAATATGCTCCATGTTATGATAGTGGTAGATTCCGAGGGTGTGATGAGCTCTGCGTGTTGTTGTTGGAGTTGGAGTTTAGCATATAAAGACCAGCCAGCCGCCAACGTGAAAGATGTTCGTTTCCTGTGCCTTCAAGCTTCTCATCAATCACAACTCCCATCATACCACCATCCACAATGCACTCCACCCTCCTTCTCCTCGGCCTTGTCGCCGCTGCTTTCGCCGCCCCAGAAGCTGGCGTTACACCAGTCGCTGATGTGCGAAGCACGCCATCCTCCTCCTAACCTGCCCTCCTCGAAGCAACTAACCTCCTCCCTTCACAGCTCCACGAAAGACAAGAAATCGGCGGCGGCATCGCCGGAACCGCAGGCTCAGCCGACGGTACCGCTGGCGGCGCAATCAACGGTCCAACTGGCTTCATCGAAGGCTGTCTTGGAGGTGCGATCTCGGGCTCTGGTACTACGGCTTGTTATCCGGTTGAGACTGCCCCGGCGCCGACTGATGTGAGTTCTGCAAAAGCAAAAAAAAGGGGATTGTGTAAGAGACTGATTCTTTCTTCACAGACCAAGTCTCACGAAGCTGCTGGCAATGCTGCAGGTACTCTCGGCCCACTTTCGGCTTCTGGGTTTGCTGATGCGGAGGGACTTTGTGCTGGGGGACAGATTGGGAAGAATGGGTTTACGACCTGTTTGCAGGCAACGTCTACGAGGTAGAGGTGGTAGTTGGGGTGGAATTGAAGGGGGTTTCCGGTATGGTTCGAACGCGGTAGTTGGTAGATTGTGTGGGAATTCGAAAGTCTTGCCGCGTGATTGGAATACTTACTCCCTCTGTATCCTTTTTTCTTTATCACTTTCCAATGCGTGTCGGCGCTCTTGGCTTAATGATTATGCATCATAGTGTTAGGAGGCCCGGTGAAATGCTTGTTTCCAGGCGTTCGGACTAGACTCGATGTCATCTTCGACTGCTTGCGCCATTCGGACAACCTTTTTGACAGGTATTGGGATGAGGACCTCCTTTCCGGGTTTCAAGTCGACGTAGTTGATGGGCGTCAAAGCGGAGGCAGTCGTGGATGCATCATGTCATCAGAAGAAAAGTCGTGTTCGGTATAGTTCGGCTGTCGGCCAAGAAAATAAGTTGCCGGGGCATCCATCGCAGTCCCTGTACCTGGGAGCGCAGCGCCGGTCTAACCACCGAAATCGCCGAGCTAACTACCGCGGTAGTTAGGAACTCTAAAATGACAGGGGGTTAGCCGAGGTTAAGCTGAAAGGTATAATATACTAATATGCGGGGAAAGGCATACCTTTCCCTATTACTTTCCTATACTATTTACTACGAATATAAATACGAATAAGAAAACTACGGAATAGTAAAGATATTAAATATTCTACTAACCTATACTAAGAACTAGATACTAACGCCGCTATCCTCGGTAAACCTACCGCGGGAGAGGCCTATTCTATTACAAATTGTATATTATTCTAATACTATTCCGATCTTATTCCGATTATATCTAATTTAGATACTAAAAGCAATTCAAGGTCGATCTTACCGAAGGGGATAGCCCCCCTACGACTGCTTAGCTCGGATTTAACGACGATAATGCCTATAAGAGGGACTACTAAGGGCTAGAATTTAAGGAGTACGACGAGGAGTACTATAAAAGCCGATTAGCGGTACTATATATCGACGACGACGTTAAGGACGTTATAAGATATATAAGGGCATTCCTATTATAATATTAAACGAATAAGAACTTATTTATAATAGGATAGGATTATTATTACCTCGAACTGCGACGCTATTTAGGCTCGTTTTATCGAATACGTAACTACGATGCCGTAATATCCGAAGACCTACGAAGATAGATATATGTACGTAATCGACTGCTCTACGACTAGTGCTAAGCCGGAGCTAGATATAAGTAGATTCTTAATCCGATATTATTCTAATCTTATCGCTTTAAGAAACGATTAAGAAACGATTAGTAAAGATAGCTAAAAGAGAGGTAGATATAATATAGTATTCCCTTAGTAGGAACGAAGGGGGCTATTCTAATAATATCTAGTTGCTTAGGTAATATACCGTATACTAAGACGTCGTACGACTACTTAGGTATTAAGTAGTGCTAGTAGTTATACGAGAACCTAGTATCTATAGATTACTACGAGGTCCCGGAAGAATAGTAGAAGACGAGAAAGAGATTGAATCTCGAAAGGTTTAACGAGGATAATCCTAATCTAGCGAGAAAGAACGCGTTAAGGTATATAATTCCAATGTTAATAGTTTTATAGGCGAATAATAGCGATAGGCTCTACTAGTCGCTCCGAAAAGAGTTCGATAATAGGATATTCTATAAGGCCTTTAGGTACGACTCCTATAAGATAAAGTTTAGATTCTTTAATCTACGTGTAAGTAATAAATCCTATACTAATGTTAAGCTAATATTAAGCTAATATTAAGCCAATGTTATTCTAATACAAATAGTTTCCCGTACTAATACTAAACGAAATAGCTTAAAAGGACAATACTAGGCGAAGGATTTATCTGCTATACGAACTACGACTCTTCTAGCCTAAATAAATACGATTATCGCTTCCGCGCGATTAAGCTAGCGGAGAATGTCGATTACAAACAGATACAGAGCCTAGTTATAGGGGTAAACAATTAGTCTAGGATTCTAATTATAAAGCGATAGTATACGGAGATCGTATAAGGGACGAGCCTACGGAGGATATACCGTAAGTATAAATAGATTCGGATTAGATTCCGAATAAATTAACATCGCAATTAGGTTACAATTACCTCCCCTCTAGACTAGGTTTCCTTAAGAAGATTAGTTGTCCTATTAAAATAAGGAAGATCGTACCTATTAACTTTGCGGCATATCCTTACGTTATCTTCGTATCCTTTTATTAGCATTATTATCTACCGCCGCCGCCTATACGACCGCTTTAATCCTATAAGGATAAAATCTTAAGACTTATTACTTAAACGCTATTAGCAACGATAACACTATATATATTAAGCAAATAAGAATCGTATAGTAAACGGTTAAGAAAGTAATTAGAACGGGATAAGCCGTCTTCCTTTAGACGTTCGCCCTATAGTAGTACCTCCGAGATAAAGGGGTTTACGCCCTTAGCGAAATTTATCTTAGTCTAGAGAATACTAATAATATTAGACGGGAAATCCGACGATAAAAGCTTATTTATTACCTAGACGGAACGACGATAAATAGAGTCCAATTCAAGTATAATATCGAGTAGAAGAACCCCGAAACGGTAAGTAAGTCGATTCGCATTCGATTCCTATTCGATTCCTATTCGATTCTTATTCGAATATTATCCGATTTATATCTCTTTATTAAAGCATTTCTATTCTACTAACATTTGATTTAGCAATATATTTAGGATATATAATAGATAGAACAAGAGTGTATAACTATTACATTCTTCGTAGAGTAGGCGTCGCTATTCCTTTCCTTCGATACCTTCGAGGTCGATATATCGTTCTAATATATTAAGGAAAAGAATATAAACGAAGTAATTCTCGGACGATAGGATAAAGAGCGAACTATTCGTAAGTAATTCGCATTCCGATGCTATTCTAATATTATTCTATTCTAAATATATTCCTAGTCCTTGTCTTCGCCCGAGCCTACGTCTATAGAGAATCCGAGTCTATATACTAGAACTTCTTTACGCGAGTCTTCGGAAGGATACGTAAGGTTACTAGAACGGCAGTAACCTTTTACTATATTTACGGTAAAGGAATTCGAGCGGTCGTAACCGACCTAAACTTAAAGCAGGCTAAAGGTATAAGAAAGCATTCTTATTATAATAATATTACGATAACATTGCAATAACAAACGCTTCTCCTAGGCTTAGGACTTTATCTTTAAGAAATTAACTATTAAAACCGCGATTAGAGGGTACAACTCGAATATATTATCCTCTATTGCGTAATCTATTAGTAGAGGAACATTAATAAGGCTATTTAGAACGAGAGTCTATACGATCGATCGATCCTTTTCGCTCGGATAGATAGTATCTATAGATTGAAATTAAAAGAGGCTTATATTAAGGAAGTTAAAGCGTTAGTAGGTAAGTAAGAAAGCTTTTAAATTAGAATCTAAAATAAATCCTATCGCTAGGTTATTTAAACGAGAAAGTAGCAAGGTAGGCTAGGTATAAGCTCTATCGCTATATCTACTATAGCCTAGTACCCGCCTTCTTAAATATTCCTAAGGCAACTTAGCGGACAATTAGATACTATACTAATACAATCGAGTTAGCCGGGAAATAGGGGTACTATACTAGAAAGCATCGGGAAATTCTACCTACGATTAATACGTATATTAAAGCTTTCTAAAAGCTTTCCGATTAGTTTAATAAAGCAATAATATTGAAATAGCGCTACTATCTTAGATCGAAAGACTCTAATATCTATAAAAAACATCGAGTCCTATAGCGTTCGTTTAATATAGCGGGCTTACTCCGTATACTCGTTAGTAACGAAGAGTAAATACTAATATAGTATAAGTAATCCTTATTCGAATAGTATCGGAATAATATTAACTTCCCTATCTAGAGAACCGCCGTCGTAAACGGGATACGATAGAAAAGAGAACAGAACGAGAATTTAATAAGGATACAATCGTCGCCGAAGAACCGAGTAGTACTTAGACACTAAAGCGGCGTCGTTCGGCGCTATCGTTATAAGCGAAGGAAAGTCTAGCCTTACGTAAAGTAACTAGTACGCCGATACTACCGAGTATACCGGCGACTAGCGACGATATACCGCCGATCGACGTAGAGCTTCTAGAACGGTAGAATAAAGCGAAACGAGAGATACTAGATCTCCTTCGCGAGGAAATAGTATTAAAAGAATAGATAAGGGAGAAAGGTTTATAATTAGTATATTAAAGGATTTAGATTAGTATACGAAACGATTTAGACTACAATACAAAAATAATTATAACTACTAGTATTTACTTCTATAAGATTCTTAACCCGCCTAGAACTCCCCCCGCTATTCTATTCCTATCCTATTCGTATTCTATTCCTACCCTATTCTTATTCCTTCGTTACCGCTCTAAGAGCCTTTAAGCTATCGTCCGCGAGATCTTAGAACAATACTTAGTATTTATAGCTATAGAAGAGGTCTTAGGTCTATCCGTTTCGTAAATAGGTCGGATAGCGATCGTACTATCCCTACTAACGTAGAAGACCGATAGCGCTCCTAAAATTGATCTAAATAGAATAAGAATAGACTTACAATCGTTTAAGATCTAAATAAGAGTAGGCTTACCGCGTTTCCTCGCTTATATCTAGGTACTCGAATAGAACTATAAGAGAGAGGCTATAGATCGGGAAATCCCTATTAAGGATATAAGGGCTACTAAGCTAGTACTAGCTTAGGCGGAGGGGCTACCCGGACTAATAGCGTAGGCGTAATAGGCGGATTAATCGAAGGCTCGGGCGTAGGCCTTTTCGGAAGCTAAGCCGGGAGGGATTCGGTACTAGGCTCTCGCTTAATATTAGAATCCGAAACGGATGTTATTAGTTTCGGATTACAAGAAGGCGCCGACGGGGCATTTATAGCATTCTATTTAGAAGCGGATACCGCGAGCTTCTCGAGGTCCCCGAGGGGGTTTTCTTCCTCTAGGTTATAGACCGAGCCCTCCGACTTATCCGAAGAAATTACTATCGGCGCTAATTTATACGATTTAGAAATACTAGAAATATTAGTAAGAGGTCGATAATAGATAGAATAAAACGAAGATAATTGCTTACCGCCGTCGCGACTCTTTAGTTTTATTCTTATCGTCCGGAGCAGTCCTATAAGCAAGGTTAATTTTTTTAAGGCATATTTCTACTATCGTAGGTTGAATAGATTCGTATTCTAATTACAAACCTTTTTATCGGACTCGATTTCCGGATAGCGACAGGACTCTTAGGCCGTACCGCTATAGGACTTAGTCCTAGCTATTCTAATTCGTCGTCGTGCTCGTTAGCGTCGCTATCGTTAGTACTTATCGATAGGGTTCTTTCTCGAGGTATTAGATTTTTCGAAGATATAGCCGTTTTATCTCGATTAGACCTATAATTTATTAGTACTAAATTAAGTATAGAAATAGAGCTATTTAAAGACTTAGTATTTTAACCTATTGCCTTTACCGACCGAGATCCTTTAGCCTTACCGCCCCTAAGAAAAGTTAGTAAAAAATCATTTAAATCTAAAATTATTAAGAAAGCCCGAGTACTATTATTAGATTCTTATTAGTTTAAGAATAGTTTAATAGTACTTATTGCTTTCTTATTAGTATTAGAAGGGTATCTTCTAACCCTAACGCTACGCTAACTATACTAAAAAAACCCTACTTATAAGGTCTCTCTACCCGAAATAATGTCCTCGAGGTTAGCCGCGAACTTAGCCTTAGCCTTACTCTTCTTAGATAAGCATATGCTACGTAGGGTAGTAGGCTTTTCTAAAACGAATAAGAAACTATTAGTACTTTTTCTTAAACTATTCTAAAACTAATAATATACCGATCCTATCTACCTTCTTTAGGGTAGTATTAGTAGCCTTCTTTAGCGTCTTCGGCTTTAGCGTACTTGCCGCCTTTTTAGTCTCGTTAATATAGGCGTTATTAGTAGCGATAGCTACTTTACGATACTATTCTAAATAGAATTAGCCGGTATTTAAACGTTTCTAAAACTATTTAGATTAGTATTATATACCTTTAGCCTGTTTCTTCGCCTTCTATCTACCTTAACCTTTTCTCTTCTTAAATATAAGCCTATATCTACCTTTATCGGTATTTATATATATATAGGCGAGGAGGGCGGAGGAGTCTTAGAATAGCTTATACTAAAACTAATTAGATACTATTATTAATATATTTAGATTAGGAAAAACTTACTAAATATATATCGTTATCCTTACTAGCAGTAACGCGATAGATTACCTCGCCGAGTACTAGAATTTGCTCGTCCGTTAAGAAGCTATCTTCGTCTATAACTAACTTAAATACGTCGAAGCCCTAAAAGCAATTAGAAATAAATAGCAATAGAATAATAAAAGGACTTATTAATAGTTTTATATTCTTACCCGCTATATCGATATATACGAGGTAGTCCTTATTATTAATAAGCTTCTAAGATAGGGCTATAGTAGAATCGAGTTTAAATAGATTAGTAAATCGAGTTTAAATAGATTAAGATTAGATTCTAAATAGACTAACGCTAGTAGAAGCTACTATAGTAGGGGAAAGGAATAAGGGTTGCTTTCGGAAAGTCGAGCTTGTTTAAGCCGAACGCGCGTACTAACCTACGCACGGACCATTACGGCTTTCTCCGATTAGTCAATTCGGTAGTTAGCTCGGTAGTTTCGGTAGTCAGGATTTCTGTGTCCCCCTGTACCTGGCAAACTCAAGACACGACGCGGTCACGCTTCCCCTCTCCTTTAATGCCAGACCGCGTCTTGGATCACAATGCGATGTGCAGTCCGATACACTCGTCACCCGCTCTATCCTTGAAGACCAGCATTCCGCTACGACGTTCTCGAGGCTCGTTCCAGGCATTAAGTCTGGTATCTGGCTTGTGTCAGAGCACGCTTACCTAGTCCGCTTCGAGGTCATGAAGGAGCCCACAGAGCCAGATCACTACAGAGTGCTGGGTCTCCCTTACAGAGCCACTAAAGCCCAAATCAAGTCGACCTTCACCAAGCTAGCAAAGAAGTGGCATCCTGACAAAGTCACTCCGTCAAAGCAGATTGAGGCCACGGCATTCTTCCAAAAATTACGACATGCTCATGATGTCCTCAGCGATGCCAACCATCGAACGACCTACGACGCTCAATATGCCCAAATCAAGCCTCTGTGGGATGCATATGAGCGACAGGTGAAATTATTAGAGATGAAGAAAGCGAGGAGAGCAAAGTAAGTGTCCCGCACGACCTTCACATAAAACGTGGCATTGACTTGGATCGTAGGTTTTCGCAGAGTATGGTTGTGTTGCGAAGCGCGACCGAAGACTTCGCTGTGCACGAACACATCATCACACGACGTTCGGAATTCATGAGGCGCAGACTCGAGCGAACAGAGGCGGACGAGAACGATAAACGCGTCATCGAGATGACGGACGAAGAAAGCGATGTCATCTGTGCTTATGTCAACTATCTCTACGAGAACAAAGTTGACACCGAGCTGTGTCAAAAGGTGTTGGCCTTTGACGGCGAATTCAACGACGAAGGATCAATCTCTCATCAGCTGGTATTCCTCGCTCAGCTCCTTGTATTTGCCGAAGAGATCAAAGACAATGCCTTCTTCAACGAAGTGGTAAATAAACTGGCCATGAGGATAGACACACCATCCTCGCAAGGAGTCCACCAATACCCAGGCGCAGGCCCAATTCAGCTCGTGTACGAAGGCACATGCGACACATCGCCTGCCAGAGCAATGCTGGTGCATATGTATGCTGAAAGTGCCCGAGAGGATTGGTTATCTGGAAGCTCGGAATCTTTTCCAACACAATTCTCCTATGATGTGCTTAGGAGAGTTCTGAAGCTCCGCCCGCCCCAACCGAAAGCAATTATAAATATCCACGAGAGCAGAAGGGATTGGCACAAGGCTTGTGGCTGAATGATTCTCTCCTGGAGTCTGAGCTCTATTCGCCCTTCACGTGTCGAATTGCCTCGGGCGAGCTTGACTTAGCCAGAAAGGGAGATATGACAATATCGACATCGCTTCCCGCGCTCTGAAGTCGAGGAATCGAAAGGGACGACCGCAGTGTCTAGGCCCAGCGGCCGATTTGGCCAACCAAAAGGACCGGTCGAGGCGCAAAGAGCGGTCAACGTCTCTTACTATCACGGCCTCTACCGCGTCACGGCATCGAGGAATCACACGACCAGGTCTACCATGCCTCAAGTTCGAACGAACGAGACAAGAGGTGACTAACAACGGCGATCTCCCGATATCTGCGAAGACATAGCCCGTCATCAGCGCTAACAAGATACATGTATCCGGATGCTGAACCTAGAGTATGAAACAAACCCAACACATGGTCTCTCCGCGCTCTCTTGTCCGTGATTTACTGCCATAATACACCCAAGGGCATTGCCCAAACGGCGAGCGGCCAAATTCATGAGCAAAGAAGCTTAGTGGAACCTCACTCTCGATCTCCACCTACCACTAGATTCCTGGAAGCATAAGTCTGCTTCAAAACGTCACTATATCCCCAGACGAATGGCATTTACACCGGAAACGTCCTCAATTACACCGGAAACGTCCTCAATTACACCGGAAATGTTAAATCCTCTTTTCCGGAAAGCGACTAGAGAGGCCTCACTACCCGGCATGGTGGCCTCACCACAGGCCGACGCAGCCTTATGCAACAACGTTTCAGCTTTGCTGACCAAGGTACCAAGAACCGAGAAATTGCTTCTCGCGGACGTTGGATCCTGAGATCTCAGTCTCAAGACTGGCTGGCCAATTTGGCCTCTGCAGAGCACCATACCAGGCCTTGTACAAAGCGGCGAGACCGTATAGATCTCAATGCCCGGAAACATTACGGGCAGCGAAGCGATGTGCTCCAGAACATGATTCTAATTCGTCTGAATACAAGTATCTTCGATTTTCACTCCTCTTTGTTCTTTTTTTCTAACGACTCGACTAAGCATTTATACACAGTCTTTATAACGACGCATACCACGCCGTAAAAAAAGTTTCTCAGCGTCGCCATCGCCGCCCTCTTTACCGCTACTGCGGTCTACGCCGACCCTACTACGGTGATCTCTTATAAAGTCATCGAAAAAAACAACCCACCCCCACGATCCTATATATCGAATTGCAATGGTTAAAGCAGGTCGTTCGCTGCTTAAGGGTACGAAGTTGAGGAGGTGAGGAGATTTCAGCGTTTTTTCTTCGAAGGCTGACTAGCTTCTTGTGCGTAGGTAGAGGATGGATAGGATTTCGTTAAGGTGACGGCGCTGGAACGGGCTCTTAGATAGTCACTGGTTGATTTATTTCGCGGTATATGGCAAATTTCCAACCCTTTCAAGCTGAAAGTGGTGGCTCTACGGACTTGGAAAGTTGATTATGTTCGAGTCGACTAGGAATCTGCAAAAACAAAAAAACAAAAAAAATCTTATTATAAATTTTTTCGATCGAGCTGTTGTTCCACGTACGTTACGTACCGGTTTCGTCGATTACAAAATACTAACTTAGTCCGTCAATCAAAAGGCCTAAGTCGAAGAATAATCCTCCTCCAATTGAAAAAAAAAATTCTTCTCTATCTGTCTCCTCCGAATTCCAACATTTCCCCCTCCCCCCCCCCCCCCCCAATCAACAATGGCAAACACATCGCATCATTCAAAAGCCTTGAAAACGGCAGATCTTTGCGGTAAGACGTCCTAAATCAAATCAGCAACCCAAATCATCAAAACTTCAGTCTCCAGTCAGACCCACCGCGTAGGCTGGCTTGCTGGGCTAGTTCTTATCATACTCCTTCAGCGGAATCAAAAGCGAGCATCAGAAATTCTGTGATCTTCTTCAGAATGAGGAGTCGCTCGTACAGCGCACCGTCCTCCGTACAGCTCTAGCCTTCAGCCCTGTGACGGGGGGAACATCCTGGTCGAAGAATGAAGCTACCAATTGGGAAGTAGGTGAGTGCGTCTAATATGCTTTGTTCCTTTGCTCTCTTCTATGTTCTCGATTTTTACAAGTCGCGGTCGGCTATGCAAGGGCTTATCGTAGACCTTTTCGGCGGAGTGACGGTTCCTGTCAAGGCCCCTGACAACACGAGCTCGAGGTAAGGTACGAGACACGTGATGGTTGTCGCCCACGCGGCATAGCATACGGCAATATTCCTTGCCAGGCATTGGAGCAATCCAGAAAATGTTATTCCCGACTGCATATCCGCCCATCCTCTGCTGCTGACATTTGCTGCCAATATGGAAGAAGTGAAGATCGAAGCCGTGTCGATGAAGAAGAGGAGGATGAAGAGCGAGGCAGATTCCAATGCAGCCCGGCACCAAGGTCCAAGCGGCGGGATCGGCAAAAATGACGCGAACCTTCCCCATCTCTACCCCGGCCACACTTGCCAGCCTCTCGAGTACTGAGCCCGTGCCCGTGCTCGACACAACAACGACATCTTTTGCTCCCTCGATCCTTTCTCTTCCATCTACGCACCAGAACACCTCACCTTCCATCCCACCGCCTGCAGACACATCAGGCGACGCCATTCTTACCACTCACCCCGCTGCGCACTCATCTCACCACTCTCCACACGCTTTGCGCCAAGAGCCGCTTCCCGCTCCCAGCCCAGCCAGCTCCAGTCGCAATGGCAGACAACCAACCAAAGGAGGGAGACAAAGGTACGCCATCTCTTTCACTGCAATCGCGAACGTCCCCTACAGCTTGTCGATGCATCGGCGGCGGAAAGGGCGCGTCCTCCATCCCACTACCCGCCTTGTCGCGCAGCGCCAGAGCCAGAGCCCGAGCTCCTGCTCGTCGCTCGCTTAGTCATCCGCTCTCCCCAGCTCAGCTACCACCACCAACCGTTGTTCTCGCAATACCGAGTGAAGAATCTCGCTAACGCGCTGTCTCGCCTTCAGTCTCTTGGCAATGGTCTGGCGGCCGCCCTGGTGGCGAAGTCGCCGAGGTCAAGGAGGGCACTGTCGAGATGACCACCAAGAACAACAACGTCGTCAAGAAGGACGGCGAGCCCGGCAACCCAGCTGTCAAGATTCAGCGCTCTGGTCATGATGTGATCAAGAAGGCCAGTGAGGTTGATGTAGAAGAGAAGGGTGACGGGCACAAGGAAGACAAGAAGGACGGCGAGGACGACAAGAAGGACGGCGAGGAAGACAAGAAGGACGGCGAGGACGACAAGAAGGAGAATGGCGACGCCGCGACTGGCGACAAGCGCAAGGCCGAGGAGACCTCCGAGGAAAAGAAAGATGCAGAGGGTGGTGATGCGAAGAAGCAGAAGAAGAGCGCCGAACCCAAGGAGAACGGCGAAGCACCAAAGAAGAAGGGTCGTCCGGCGAAGAAAGATGCCAATGGCGAAACCAAGCCGAAGAAGGAGACGAAGAAGAAGGAACCCAAGCGTGCCGCGACCGAGTCTGGCGAACCAAGACGATCTGGCCGTAACAGATCGTAGGCGTGACGTCGAAGAATGTCGACCGCGCACTTCGAGCGTCGCACTTCAACAAAGATAACAACAACAGGATCTGTGGCGCGGTGCGCATTCAAATTTTAGCTGGACATGGAGAGCAAGCAACAAAAGAGGGCGCTGGCAGCTTTGGGGCGGGGGGACGGACTTTGGGCATGCGGATGCGGATGGCAGGAAACTTGCGCTGAAATGCTCGAAAAAGAAAGCTGATTCTTCGTGTACAGTATATGGCAAATGCTGCTAGTCAGTGCGAATGAATTGAAAGATCATGTTTTTGTGATGATGACTTGACAGAACCAGTCTTGGCGATGTTTGCCGTTGCCGTTGACGAGGAGGAAGGTGAGGTGCGAGCTTCTTTTGACCTCACTTGCTGACTTGACTTCGCCATACCCTGCTCTGGACTAGTCCACCTAGCATGATTCAGGTTCAGGTCCAGTCTCAAAGATGGCCGATTCGCCACTTTCTGGCCATCATCACCTCTTAGTCGGAGCATATCCAGCCAGCGCTCATCTAGTAGGATCTTTGTTGTCAAAGAACCTCCTCGACCAGACTTACGAAAAAGAATAAGATTACTCGATAGTTTAGCAAAAAAAAAAAAAAAAACTTCTTCGACATTTTCGTTCAGGGCCGCAATCGTCTTGCTTTTCCGTTCTTCGTCGAGGTCCCAGTCTTCTCCACTGCACAGCATCATCGCCCTTGCGAGGAAGAGAGAGCTTTTCTCTTACTAAAGAAAACGGTATAGATAGAAGAACTATATATAACCTACTTTTAGAGCAGATCAATAGCGTCAGCGCACGAACAAACGGTTGCTCAACAACCTTCGACTCGAGTATCGCTTGGTACTTCTCAATCCAACGTCGCAGTATAGAATAGGATCTACCTCACGACGCAAATCCCTCGCGCGAAAACATACCCACTGCAACAAATCTTCGTGCAGCCCGCATGCGTCTGAACAGGAGAATTTCTGATCGACATGATGATTAATCTCGATATTCTCCTTCTCAGCAGAGGGTATGCAAAAACAGGACTTACAACAACAGAAACTCGAGACTTTCAAAGGAGGCCTCACTCCTAGGTGCCAGTGAATTTTCCTGGCGTCTGGTTGAATGCTTTGTGTATATATGAAGAAGGTGAATGGGAGGATTGTATACATGTAGCTGGTGAATTTTTGTGGGAGAGAAGGGGAAGGCCATGGTATAGATGGTCAAGTCAAGGAAAGTCATGGCGATGGTGAGATGTAAGAGTGTCTCTGCTGTGTGTTCGAGATGCATGCAGTGTATACATTGTCTTCTTGGGTCAATGCTGAAACAAAGCCTTTGTCTGTCTCATCTGGGTGTCTCAGTCTGCTTTGAAGGCTCGAGGCGAAAAGAAATGCTGAAGGACGGTGAGATGGATGAGGTTGGCAGTATCGCTGTACAATGATGAACTATTCGAAGGTAAGTCTGTACAATGTTCCCATGAAATGCAAACAGGAATGCCTCGAGTGAAGTATGCCGGGGAAATACGAAAGGCCATAGTCGCCATGCTCATGCCGCTGCTTTGTCTCTCCCACACATCGCTATCCAGAGTTCGGACGTGGGCAGACCTAACCCAACTCACTCACATATCCTTCCACAGCTCCTTGCCGGGCGCTTTCTTCATCTTGACTCTCAGCTGGGATGCGATCTCTTAGCCATCTCATCGTTGCCATGGTGCCCTTTTCCAAAACGCGATAGTTAGGCACGCGGAATGCATTGCTGCCAACTTCGAAGTTGCGAAGACCTTCGTCCCACAGCAGACCAATCTCGGCAGGCAGGGCTTCGATGTCATTGCTCTTCAGGTTCACAGTTTGCAGGCCGCGCAGTGCCGAAACGCTGATTGAGCGAAATTTGTTGTCGCTTGCGAACAGTGTCGTCAAGGATGGATAGGTCTCTCGTAATTCGGGCAAAGGGCCCGAGAGACGATTCGCATTGACATTGAGAGTATGCAGTTTCGGCGCCTGCAGCTGCGTGGTCAGCGGTTCGAGGGACGTGAGCCGACACTGGCTAAGGCTGAGCTCCTGCAAGTTGGGCAATTCAAGCTCGTCGTATAGGTAGTCGGAGCTCATGCTGTTGCCGGAGAGATCAAGCACGCGAAGAGCCTGACCCATCCACATGGCCGGTGGTATGCACGTAAGTGTATTGTTTTGCAATTGCATGGTCTTGACTTCATTGCTGTTCAGAAATGATCCCAAAGTGTCGTTGAGGTCGTCCGACAAGTTCTTATACGAAAGATCGAGTAGACCGTTAGCTCTTAGAAACCATAGTGAGGTATGAGTGTCGACACCGATGACAGTGACAGGGCTTCCGGGAACGTCTTCGTCTGTGACGGAGTCAGACTGCTCGGGCGCCAGTCGAGCTCGCAGGTCGCGCTTGATGTCGGCTGCGTTCATGGTGAGAAACTTCTTCTCGCGGAGTGGGTTGGATGCGAGGATAAGAGACTCCAATCCCTCCATCTTGCAAATCTCCGTGTCTACCAGGCGAATGTCATTGCTTGTGAAGTTGACGTTACGTAGCTTCTGCAAAGTCGTGAACCCTGGCGGGAATTCGGTCACCTTGTTGTCTGCCACATGCAGTGTCGTAAGCTCCGTCCAGCCTTCGACGGAAGGCAGCACCGTCAGGTGGTTGTTTGTGAGATTCAAAGTGCTCAACTTAGGGAATTCGAGCGTTTCTGAAAACGTCAGAGCCGCAAGAGAGTTGTTGGCCACGTTCAAAATCTGCAAGGTAGGATGGCCATTCGGTCCGCCGAGAGGAAACAACGATGCGATCAAGGCGTTGCTGCTTGCGTCCAAATCGGTCAGCGGCAATTGCTCAAGCGCCTCCATGGGGAGAGCTGTGAGCTGATTGCCTGACACGTTTAGGACCCTCAGGCTGACGAGCTCTCGAAGCGCTTCTGGAAGCCCGAGGAGCCTATTCGCTTGGACATCGAGCACCTCGAGGCTGCGTAGGTCGCACAACGAACTGGGAAGGCTGCCGTTCAAATTGTTGTTACCAAGTCTGAGCTCTTTCAGCTGTGAGATCTGCGCGATGACATCGAATGCAGCATTGTCGAGCTTGTTGTGCGCAAGATTGAGGGTTGTCAGCCTTTCGAGACGTCGCAAACCCATGGGTAGGCTCTGCAGTGAGTTGCCGTGTAGATCGAGCATTTCCAGGCCTCCAAATTGGTTACCTTCCGACTGATCATCGTCAGCGATCTCCTCTCCAGAGCGATCTGGGAAGATAGAGTCATCGATGGTCTCAAACTCATTGTCGGCAGCGATGAAGCGTGTAAGATCGACGACCTCAGCCCAGTTCACCTTCGATTCCTCCATGGAGGCAGAGTCGTACATCTTGCGAACCTCTTCGGGAATCTCTTTTAGTGCCATGGCAGCAATGTTGAGCTTGCCATCGGTCCGAGCGTTGTTGATGCGATTTCTTAGGATGTGCTTGCCGTCCTTGGGTAGCTGGTTGAAGGGATCTGCACTCAAGTCCAGGTCGTATGCAGCATCATTGACAGTCGAACTGTCCATCGGCGAGTCGTGCTTGATGGCGCTCTGCGCTTCTTTGCGAGCGGCCGCCTTTGCTGCGGCAATTTGCTGCCGTAGTGCTGCAGAAGAGTTGGACACTACTCGTTTGCCATGCGTGGGCGCAGCTGGTACTGTCGTGGTCTCACTTTCTTTTCTTTTGGCAGGAGCAAACGCTTCGCCAAGAACTGGACGAGGCTTTGCAGGGCGTGACGATGGCACAGTAGTACGATCGCTAGCTATCTTTGCATTGCCATTGGGGAGTGACGAAGTCGCTGGTTTGAGCGGAGATGCTGTCTTCGATGCCGTAGCAGTCTTCGCTTCCTGCAACCGGCTGGTCAGAGCGCCGCTGGTGGACCGTCGAGTGCCACCAATAGATCCGACGCTCGACTTCACGCTCGAAGTTCTCGTCGCCGGCCTAGCACTCGAGGGCCCCTTCTTGGGTGGCGAAAGCCGACCAGATGTCCTCGCAAAGCTGCCGTCGCTTGTACCGGGTCTACTGGCTAGGCTGGAGCGCGGACGTGGCGGAGGGCCCATGGGACTTCCAGGATTAAAGAAGCTGGATCTGCGTCGAATGTCGGGAGTTGTAGGGATTCCTTGAAGAGTTTCGATGGTCCTTTCGGTCAGAGAGGGTCTTGATGACTTTCTCTGTTGGACTGGAATATTTGCATTCGATGGCTCGACGACGTCCAGTGCTTCTGGTTGAGCATCATCATCATACGAACCCAATCTGGAGCCGGACCTCGAAGCCGAGCGGAAGCTGTCGAGTGAGCTGAGTTGGTCTTCGGTCTCATCGTCATTGACGAGGGTTGAGGCTTTTGAGATACTACTCAGTCGCTTTGTTTGAGCAGAAGTCGGTCGAGCAGTGAGCCTTGAGCCGATCGATGGCTTGGCGTTATTCTTTGGGCCGTTGGACAGAGACAAATGAGGTCGAGCGGTGCGTGGCTTTGCCTTCGCAGCGGCCAGGGTCGATGTCTTTACGGCAGGCTGAGTCGACGGCGACGATATTGCTGCTGGAGGAATGCGCTTCTGTGCCTTGGGCTTTGGTGTGCCAGAGACTGCTGCTGGCTTCGCAGCCTTGGGCGGCACGGTGTCGGCAGGCGTGTGAAGAGCGCCGTGAGACTGAGTAATGGCGCCGTTCCCCAGCGAGGTGGAGGTGGAGGTGGTGGTGGTGGTGGTGGTGGCGGTGGTGGAGCGGAACTTGGACTGCGGACGGGGTATGCCTGATGGTTTGGGGGTAGTGGTGGCCGCAGGATCCATGCTCGCGGCGATCGTGGACTGCAGCTGCGGCAGCGCCGATGGATGGCCGGCGACTTCAATGCAGCACAGCACAGCACGTGGAGAGAGTGCAGTGCTTTGCTTGTTGAAGACGAAGACTACTACTGACTCCTGGTCGGCGGCCGGGCAGTCGGTCCATGTCGCCAGTCGCCCTCAGGGGCTGCTACCGGTCGCGACGGGCAACGAAGCCACCGCATGCGCACCGCTGTAGTTCTAGGCCGCTGACTTCATCCAACCTCGCCCAACCTCCCTCGTGCGCTGACAACCCAATTGTGCCTGCGTTGCTTGCTGCAAGGGCATTCTTATTATGCGCGCATGAAACACAGATAACTACAACCACTGCGGCGCGCGCTGCTTGCTGTAGTCGCACCGCACCGCAATCAACCCACCAGCCTATCCTATCCTATCGATAACGCCACGCCACGCCACGGCATTGACCAACAACACAACGCCCGCCCTCATATGCTATCCCTCCATACACCGCACTCTGGACGCCCTCATTCCTCCGCCCGACATCAGCGAGCCAGCGACGCCGGACATGTCGCATGCCGCCCTACCATCGGCACCCACGGCCAGCCTCTCCAAGGTGCAATCACACCCACTGGACGATGCGCCCTCGAGTTTGACTCCGCCACCTTCTACACAGCTCCCATCGTCGAGCAGAGGCAAAGCGCGCACCCCGACTCCGCCAGTCTCGCACATCTCCACCCCGCCTCCCACCATCGAATTGCACGCCCAGAATGGCCGATCGCTGCGCGCATTCCCTGGAATACTGTCTGGAGAGGAATTGGAACCGGCGTCATCCGAGGAGCTGCGATTGAAACTCGTCGAGCTGCAAGCCGCAGTTCAGCACGAGAAGATGCAAGCCGCGCATTACAAGCTGCAGTACAATATGCTCGCACAGGAAAGCGCCGCGGCCATCGAGCGCATGCATGTCGAGGCACGAATGGCGCAGACCGAGAGCGATGTCATTGCGCAAGCCGAGCAGTCCAAAGTGCCCGTGACACCCCTCCCGCAGCAGGAAGGCTTCGTCCCGGTCCAGAAGGCTTTGTACCAGAGAATGCTCCGTGATATTCACATCTTGCGCGAGAATGTTCAGGTTTTGGAAAGGGAAACCAAGGATCAGGACAGGATGCTTACGATGCAAGACGATGAAATTGCCAGCCTTCGCGATCGCGCTACTCTGATGGCCGAGCGCATTCGTCAGAGCAGAGAGCAGCAGAACCGTTCTCGGCGAGCTCAATTTTCGTCACGAGTCGATGCGACACCCCGTTCCGTCTACAGTACCCCTCAGCAGCGTGCACACATCGGCAATCGACAGCAGCCGCAAGCCTTTGCCGCGCTCATTCAGGCCTCAGAAATGGCGAGCCAGGAATCTGCCAGATCAGCGGGCAAGAAAGGCCATTCCAGGAACGTGCACAGCACTTCCAGTTTGCCATCTACCCCACAACGAGCTCAAAAGTTGCAGCAACCAGCGTATCAGACTCCATCAGGTCGTCAACAACCACGAAAGATCCCATCAACTGCACCTGTGGCTCGCATGAGTGCAATGCGAACGCCAGACGTCTACGCGCAGACCTCGCTGCCAGTTTCGCAGGCACAAGATCCACAGTCTGATGGCACTGTCTCCGCATCAGACAATGATAGCGAGGCAGAGACCGACATTCTGGACCAGGATGACGAGATTCCGCAGTCGCAAGCCTCCCTTTCTGCTTCACAAATGCTGAGGTCTGGCCAGGAACAGCAGTCAAAGCGAGATAGCTTCGAAGGCCGAGGTATGCTTGAGCCTAGCCGTCGAACTGGTGGCGAGAAGTTGAGACAAACGAAATTATTCGGGCAGGTGCGTAAGAGCAACGTAGTCCGAGCTGGCTACGACGAAGACGAGCCGCCTGCAAAGAGATCCCGGACAGGAGACGCGGGCGATATTGGCATTGGCCTTGGCATTTTTGGCACGCGGTAGAGCGCAGTCAGGAGTACTTTGGGTCCAAGAAGAGGATCGCAGTGAATTCCAGCAAGCGAATTCGATTTGTTGAGCGCTGATGAGGTGAGCTTCTTTATAACGAATCACGACCACAGGATACCCAAATCAACATTACTTTGCGATCAACATTACTTGCGACTGTGTTTGTCAGCCAGTCTTGATTTCATTTCGAAGCCTGCTTTCGACGTTCCTCTCAAGTCATCATCTATGGCGATGGCCAGTCGACTCTTCACGCGGCCGTACATTGCATGAGGTCGCTATGGGCTTCACTTGGACAAACTCACTTGCTAGTGGGTTTCAACTTGAACTTCTGCCTAGGTGAGGATGTATCTGCTGCGTGAACGAGACTCACTTTGGTCTGGTACCAGTACGATTTTTCCAATACTTCTCGTTCTCCCCAACGATCAAGAAAGGCAAAGGAGATGGCCGGGAGGAAGAGGAAGGTCAGCTTCCAGCATCGTGCCCCGTACAAGGCAAGTGCTATCTATGTGAAGGAGCCGAGCTGTGGCCAGAGTACTAATCGATCATCAGGGCTTGGAGTGGGTGGAGAAAGAGTGCGCCGGCGAGAGAAAGCAGCTCTACCTGTCCAGCGATACGAAGACAACTTTGTACAATACTTCCGTCTTTTCCGCTGGCAAGTCGTTACGCAATGCGCCTCGCAAGAAAACAAAGTCAGGCAAGGTCCGTATCGGTCCCATGCATGGAAAATGTTGCTTCGGCGCTAATGTAGTCCTTGAGAAGTCACACGCTGCGCCTTTCGTATATAGCAGGCACGCCATGCCTACACGCGCAATCACCACCGCAGCTGCCAGAAACGCCGTCTTACACACTCGCGAGCTGCTTGAGGCGATTATTCACCATCTGCCGATGAGCGACGTACTCAACCTGCGAAGTGTGTGCTCGACGTGGAAGTACACAATCGATGACTCCGTCAGCCTCCAGCGCAAGCTGTTCCTCAAAGCCGTTCACACCGGAGACCTGTGGGTGACCGACACGCATACGAGTACAATGCGACCGAGCAGCAGCAAACAGATCCGGGAAATGTCAGAACAGAACCCGATGGAGTCACGCTATCTCGTAGCCCGCCCGTCCCAGCTCAACGCTACCTTCTTCGCGCGCAAACCTGGCCATGAAAAGACCCCGATTCTTCATCGCGCAAAATATTGCGAGAGACTGAGCTTCACGGAGCAACCGGATCAGATTAAGCACAACACGATCTGGCAGAGTATGTTTATCTGCCAACCAGCAGTTAACGCGGTACACATCTATCTACGGTATTCTGGACTTCTCTACAACAAGATCTTGCGATTCTGGTACATGGACGACCAGGAACTTCGCATCGAAGTCGTCAACGAAGTGGAGGGTATCCGGTACAAAGATGTCGTGGCCGCCATTCACGCCGCGATCGAGACGAAACATCCTGGTCGAGATGCTGCAGAATTTGAGATCAGAGTCTCGGACGAGCATCAACGCAGAGCAAGCGAGGTTTATATGTTGGGGGCTTTGTTTGCGAGTGGGGAGGAGATCAAAGCGGTGGAGGAGTTGCGAGATCAGGAATGTTGGAGCGAGGAGACGTCTCAGTTTATTCGAGGGATGGAGAGGGAGCCGAGCTTGTTCTTGAGTGAGGGTCCTGTGGGGGTGAATAGGACAGGATGACTTGCATCGATGAGGCTATCCGATGGCGGTCAGGCTACACTGAGTCTGGAGGGGAAATTTGTTTGGCGTGGAGTGTGGTGATAATTGGCAGGCTGGTACTGGAAGACATATGGTGGCAACGACGAGTTGAGGCATGTCGACTGATGGGAAGGGAGAGGCGCGTGCGTCACTGATGTAAACACTGCATGCGAATAATGGTCGTGCGTGCGCCAAGGTCGTCGAGTGCAAGAAGTCGCAAGGTCGTTGCAACGACGATCGTACTTGCCTGATGATCAGCCATGCATCAACGGCCGTTGCGAATGCGCTCGACCGCACCTTCTCCCGATGGTTCGTGGACCCACACATCGTGATCCCAACTTCACATGCCAATTATCAATTATGTCCTCATTCTCCGCTGTATGCCAGCCATCGATAATACACCCGGAATGCCGTCCGCAAAAAGCCGCTCCAGCGAGGTAACGCAAGCAGACTCTGGCAGTCGACGCAGCTCTTTGCGCCGCCTGAGCTCAATCGCATCACTGCAGACGCTCAATCCGTTCAATCGCCGCCGCAGCAACAACGTCACCGACTCGCCATCGACCGCCAGCAATGTATCCTTGACCAGCACCAATGCCCATCGCGAGGCCCCCCCTCCCCCTCCCCCTCCCCTCCCCCCTCCCCCACGCCACCAAGAATCCTCCTCTTCCCACATCTTCGACGACGGCGGCCCTGGCCCTGCCGACACGCTCCCGCCGCTTCCTTCCACAGAGGACATGCCGCCACGGAGGAACAGCTACGTTTGCTTGCCCGACGACCCAATCGGGGGCATGCCGAGAAGCAGGACATTCAGCAATCTGCCTTTGCCGTCCAAGATCAAGAAGACCACCAATGCGCTGGTGCAGAGCAAGTCTCATGCGCGACTGCCTTCCGTCTCGCGCATTCCGACCCCGACAGCTTCCAATCGCAAGTATTCCACCAGTCGCCTTCCATCCTTGGATCTCAGGCACGCACCAGCCCGATCGAAGCTCATTCGATCCGACACAGAGCCATTGCTCCAGCACGTGCTCGAGCAAGGAACGAACATCCCCCGATCGACGGCCTTCAAGGAGAATATCTCCCTGAGCCCCATCAAGCCGCTGCCGAGCATGCTTGCGGATGATGACCGCTTCGGCTTCGTCAATTCCCCTCGCCGCTCCGGCCTCAGTCGTGGCTGGTCTGACTCCAGCGACGTCGGCGAACCTCTTCTACCGCAGCGCAAATCCAGTCTCCCTGCATCTCAGCGTGCATCTTTGAGGGCACATCCTGCACGTTTGTCGCAGAAGTTCGACAGCAGTCCTGCATACCGACCTTCCCGTGAACGCCCACCCACGCCAGGACAGCCAGGACAGCCTGTACAGCGATGGAACTCGCAGCCAATTCTGACCAACAATACGAACTTCAGATCTTCGCACGGCGAAATCAAGCAGACTCGACTCATGTCCGAGCGTGGTCCTCCAACACCACCCCTGGTGTCCACCTCGCTCTCTCGCGAGTTGAGTGGCAACGACCTGAAGCGGATGAGCATTACATCGAATCATTTACAGCAAGTGACGGAACTGCCAACCCTCAACATCGACCAGACATTAGATTCCACCTCGAACAGGCCGCGAGCAAATTCTTTACAGCCACGGCCGGGCGCCATAAACACAGCACAGCCCTTCGCCTACTGGACTGGCAGATTTTCCTCGCTGAATGATCGGTATCGCAATGAGGATCTCGCCGCATCGTTCCTGCCCTCTCACCATACCTCACCCGCTGAGAGTCCGTGCCAATGGCATACGAAGTCTGAGACTGATAAGATGCACACGACCGAGGCCAACACGAAGCGCATGCGCCGGGCAGTGGAGCATCTCTATTCGCTTTGCGCCACTGATCAGGCCAAAGAATCCTTCTTGAAATGGCAGAAAGCTGTGGCCATTGCACTTGCGACGCCGGAACTGGCTCGGCCGGTGAATGGCAGCGATGGAACGAGAAGGGGCTGGAATCTCGAGATGAGTCTGAGGAGCTCGAGCATGGCAAATCTGACCGGAAGTCACGCTTCTGGAGGAGAGAATCGGAAATTTACGAGCTTTGTGGACCGCTTGCTTGGACGGAGGCAGAAGAGCGAAGCACTGCTGGCGACCGGATAGGACCCTGATGCGAGGTGGAATGCTGGATCGATGTGTTAGTTGAAGCAGAAAGTCATGCGTTGTTGTTGATCAGCATCGTTCTTGTTGCGAGAAAGTGGTGGCAAATAATGTGTTTTTTTTTTAATTTTTCTAATCCACTTGGGCTCCTCGAGATATGCACACATCCTCACCACTATATTTCAGACACCAGAAAACACCAAAGAGGATTGAGCAACCAGTTAGCAGGTCCCAAACCCAAAGCCTGAAGAAAATCCTAGGAGTATACAAAACTATACCAATAAGGGTAGTGGAAATGGAATTAGGGATCCCACTAGTTAAACAATACTTTAAGGGACTAAGACACCAATATATAGCAAAGACAATAGAATACCTAGCCTAATAGACTATCTAAAAGGCACTAGACAAGATAAAAGCCTAGTATATTAGGACTAGAAGGCGAGACAGACTATAAATAACTCCCTAGAAAGTTAAAGACCTAGAGCAATATAGAGTCTTAATAAGAGAAATGCTAGAGAAAGAGCTCTAGGATCCAAATATAAGGCTAAAGGAAAACAAGCTAAAGGGAGAGAAACAAAGCCTAGTAGAATTAATTACTAGATACCTATAGGAGCAGGAATAAAACAAAACACAAGTCAGACTAGGAACCCTAAAGGCACTAATTAAATTTAGTTAATACAACTACTAGCTCTATAAGGACCTAAATAGGGCCGAGGTAAGCCTAGCTATCTAAATCAGATCTAAGTATATTAGACTTAGATCTTACCTATTTAGAAGAAACGTCTTAGGAATTGAAAGTAGGGCGTACTAATATAGCTACTAATCTTAGAACCCTAAGCATATACTACTAGTCTGCCCTTAATAGTTAGAAGGTAGAAGTAATTAGAGACTTAAAGCAATAGAAAGGGAATACGACAAGCTAATCTAGAGCAAAGAAGACCTAAAGAGGATAGTAAAGTGGATTATTAAATAGGGATTTATATAAAGTATCGTTCAAGCCCTGCAGTGCTTGTCCTAATCGAGCGGAGCGACGGCGTAGAGCCTGAGAACAATATCAGATTTTACCGTCAAAGGTCGCTACAGATTGTGTTTGTTTTGCTATAGAAGGTCGTTGCTTCGTTAGTTATAAAAGAGGCAGGCATAGGGGTGTCGCATAGTGCTATTGTCGCATAGGGCTGTTAGCGCATAGTGCTATTGTCGCATAGTGCTGTTGGCGCATTATAGTGTTGCCTTTGTTGTAGGACCGTTAGAGGGCACGTAATAGTAACTTGAATTATTAACTAATTATAGCGCGCGCTCGATTTTGCGGGCGCATCTTTGAAATTTAGCCCCCCTACGCTAATACTACTGCTACTGCCTCCTTACTACTAATATTAGCTACGTTATTAGTAGCAATCTAATTTGTTCTCGAGCTCTACGCTAGACTAAATAGACACCTTCTACAACCTTCGTCGCAAGCTCCTTAGGTTGCTCTAGGTGCCTGTTTTTAGTCTGTCGCTCCGCTCGAATAACAATTCGTACTAGTAAGGGAAACTAAGGAGTAGATAAGAAGGAGGGAAGAAGAGGGGGAAAGAAGGGTAAGGTAGTAGGCAAGGTAGTTAGAGGGTAACAACTATAATACTAGTGCACCCTAAAGGAAGGAAAACAAGGAAACGAGGAAGATTAATACTTATAAGTAGGATAGGAGGGAGGTTTTTACTAACCAAGTTGGTTTCCTACCTAAAACAATACATAGAAACAGACCTATATAGGCCGAAAGGCACTACAATAGGCAAATGAAATATCTATCTATCTATATTTCAGACACTAGAGAGCAGAACATTTTTTTTTCTAGTATCTATTCTCCCTGTTTAGAATCCATGTCTAGCCTGCCTCTTAACTAGTATAGAATATCCTCTTTCGAATGGTTTTTCGGTTTCTTAGAAGACGGACGTCTCTCGAGGTTGAATTCTATTATCTAAAAGGAGAGAGAGAGAGATTTTCTTTTTTCTTTCTTCTTTTTTTTAATAAGAGTATTTGAAGGGATTATAGGCGATACTACTATTACTATTACCTATAGCAAGTAAAGTAAATCACAACCTCGCCCCTACTTCCTTCCCACCCCCATCATCCATCTCAAACAATTCCCTCAACTCCCTCTTCTCCACACCCTTCACGGACAAAAGCCCCTTCTCATGAACATCCACCCGTGTCTGATTCTCCTTCTCCTTCCATCCCCACGCCCGATCCTTTTCTTCCCCGTTGGAAATCGAAAATAAAGTGTTGAGAATGTATTTTCCGATGATGGGTAGGAATCTTATGAAAGGAGGGTTAGTTGTTGTGGAAGAACGAGAAAGGAGAAAAACAAAAAACTCACTTATAAGAATGAAAACTTCCCCCCGTCGCTAAAAAAAGTCCCTGCAGTCTTGCATCCGGATGTGCACAGATTAAAAAATCTTCCGTCGTCGACTGCGCGTCCCAGCAGATTCTCCAATACGCGGGGACTTTTCCCTCCGTCATGTGCGGAAGGACGCGTTGTTTTCTGATCAAGTTTTGCGTTTCTTGTTTCAGAATTTCGGGCACGGTGGACTGGTCGGTGGCGGGGACGGAGATTTTTCGTTGACTGCTGCTGCTGCTGCTGCTGGGGATGGAATTTAGGATTCCGGATTTCGAGTTGGCGAATTTCATGAGGGGGTTGGAAGGGCCCGGGGGGATGATTTCGCCGAGTCCGCCGTAGATGATCACGGGGCAGGAGGAGGTTGTTTTTTGGGTGCTGTTGCCGAGGGTGGTGAGGGAGGTGGTTTCGGATGGGGTGCAGTGGTAGTAGGCGGCGATGAGGCCGGTGGCTTGGATTTGGGATTCGATGGTTTGGTCTTCCGGGAAGTGCAGGGAGTCTTCGGTTGGGGAGAGGATTTGGGAGGTCCAGGGACCGGCGCAGAGGAGGACTTTGTCGGCGTGCAGGGTGCGGCCGTCGGATGTTTTGGCGCCTTCGATACGGTTGGTGGAGGGGTTGTGGATGAGTTCCGTTACGGTGCCGGTGATGCGGCGCACGCCTTTGCGTTCGGCTGCTTTCATGAAGGAGTGCGTTGCTGCGGCGGCGTCACACCAGCCTGCTTCGGGGTTGAAGTATGAGGATTGGAAGCCTTCGGTGGAGGTGCCTTTGAGGCAGGAGAATTTTTCGGGGATCTTGTTGAGGGCGATGTCTTCTGCTTGAGTGGAGCCTCGACTGAGGAAGGTCTCTCTGATGCGTGATGTGAGGTTGCTGCCTTCTTCTTCGAGCATGAGCCAGCCGACTTTGTGGAAGTATGGACCGAGCTCTTCGCTCCAGAACCATGGGTGAATGGTCTCACATGCTAGGTCGCAGTAGAGCTTGTTGGCATAGTCGGTTCGAATGACACGATTGACGTCGATTGAGGCCGCTGGTTTGGGCGGAGACGGCGCCTGGTCAATCACTGTGACTTTGGATGGATCTTTGTAGATGTGTGCGAGATGATAGGCAGTTGATGTTCCCTGGCAAAGGCGTCAACGTACATCAATAAGTTATGTATGGGATGACAAATTCAATGTGATATTGAAATTCAGAGCGCGTTATGACTGAGCATTATTCTCTCGATATCGTTCCAACTTACAAAAGTGCCAGCCCCAATAATCAGTATTGTAGGCTCTGCTTTGCCATCGAACGGGTTGTCACGATCTATACGCTTCGGATTCGGTGCAGTGCCGGAAGGCTGGATAGTTGTGTCGCTTGCGAGCACTCTGGCCGAGGTCGAGAAGACGCTGTTGGTCACCATTTTTGCTTCTCGAGCTCGCCTAGCTCTTCCCTTTTTTGCTGTAGTGTTGTATCGAAAGATTGAGCACGTAGACGGCCTTGCTTGAGGGTATAGAATGAAACGGTACAGAAGTTTTCATAATATCATCCCAGCCTCCGGCGGGCGACCAGGGCTTCGGCGGGCATACGGAATCCCCGCCCACGTTTAATTCTTACCATGTATCGGGAAACGCGTATCCACGCCTGTCGTTTTAGCAGTCAGGACATGGGTTGATGTCTCTGGCGCTGCTAAGCATGGAGACGCATGTTTGTGAGGGGAAGCTGCAAGCTTGCGTCGTTTGGGCCAAGGATGTATTCGCAAGTACAGCGCTCGAATTGGCTGTTCTCGACGGAAGGGTAAGAAATTCCGACTTACTGATCTCACGATCCCTCGATTCGATTCCACTATAGCATCGTTACGAGAGGTGTCGTTGGAGGCGAGGAACGTGGCTGTCGGAAGGTTCGACAGCTTACCCTGGTCTAGTCCCGCGCCAAGAAAGGGTCCCTCGGAGACTGCAGGAACGTCAAGTGAAGAGATGTCTTTCGTGGAGTATTCGGGCGGCCGCGACGCTGCGGCCTCTTCGGCTACCGGCTCACGTCAACAACCTCTAGCCTCGCATATCATTTTCATGAGATCGTCGATCGCACGTGACTGTACATTAGCAGCAGCATGGTATACGCTGAAGGAGAAATCGGAAGCGCCAGACACCGTCAAAGGGAGAGCGATTTGATGCTTCAATCCTCGTCACTATCGGCAAACATGTCTTCTGCATGCTTTCGTCGCCGAGGCTCAGGTGCCGCGGGCTTTACTTCGACGCCAGCTCTCAGTGAGAAGGCATTCTTGCTGGTGCTAGCGACAGCTTGGTCTTTGGCAGGCTCATCGACTTCCATCGCAGTGTCGTATTTCAGCTCCGCGTTCTCCGGACCCGCTATCGGAGACCCATCCAGCTCATTCATGGGCTCACCGTCGAGGTCTTCGTCCATTGGCGTTCCATCGACATCGTCTATAGGTGTTCCGTCAAGGCCTTGCATGGGTTCTCCATCCACGCCATCCATGTCTTCGGTCTGGACAGACGGTGCAGGGGCAGGCGATGCAGTCGTGGCAGGCGAAGCGGTCCCTTCTATTCGTTTGAATTTAGCCAAGTACTTGGTATCAAGGCCACTCTTCTTCCCATCCTGCTCAGCTTTTTCGTTGACATCTGCCGATTCTTCAGCTGGCTGTTCGAAGAACTCCTTCTTCATGGCTTCGAATACGTCGCTTGCGAACACGCTGCCGTGTTCCCAGATGTCGAAGAGCACGCGAACTTTGTTCTGCCATTGATTCTCCTTGATTCTTCCCCAGCCGAGCTCTTTCCCGAGCCGGCCAAGCTGTTTGAAAGTATGCTGTCGACGGAAAGCCGCCTCGAACAGCTGCCGATATCTCCATGCGTTTCGCACACCAGCCGTGGCAGAGTTCTGAAGCACATCATTGATGAGATACAATGCGACGAGCTTTGATTGTGATGGGTCGGCATCTGAATCCTTTTTCAGGGCGGGCTCTGCAGACGGCGTCTCCTCGATACTTGGAAGCTCCTCGTCTGGCTCATAGTCATCCTCTTCGTCCTGCGTCACATCCTCGCTGTCGAATTTGCCGCACTGCGTCGCGCTGAAAGGCTTTTCGATATTCAGCATGAGCATGTCGACAATCTCGTCGGCTCCAACTCCAGCATTATTGATCGCGAAGGTCGAAATAGCAGCGACATCCCCAACTCGTAGTCTTGTGTGGGTTGCTGGGACTCGAGACAAAAGCCAAGCAAACTTGGCAATCTTCAGTGGTGAGAGATACTTTTTCTCGTTGTCTGATGCTGCGCCTTCGCCTTCTCGCTTCCCCGTATTGAATTTCCGTTCTTCTTCATCGTCGCTTTCCTCGTCGCTCGACACATAGCTGGGATGATCCAAAGCATCGCCCAGCCGAGACAAATCTGCGAAAGGCACTTCGCCTTGCTTGAGATTCCAGTCAATCACAACATCGTCAACGACTCGCTCAGGACGTTTTGCAATGCGCTTCTGCTCTTGCAGCATATCAAGATTCTCATCGTCGTTCCACATCAGGTATCGGTAGTAGACTCCGGCGGGACTCTGCGAATCAAACAGAAAGGCGAAACGCTCATCGGTTTGCACTTCTGGTATTGCCATGAGTCCAGCTTCAAGCTGAAGTGCGCGTCGTGGGTCGGGCTCCGCAAGTAGTCTGTCAGCTATGGTGTGTACTGCACGGATGGTCGTGATGGCGAGGGGAGGCTGCACAGCAATGTTCGCGGTCGCCTGAGGAAGTTGATTGTGACTGCGTGACCGAGCTTCGTATGAATCGGGTGGTGCGAAATGAGATGGCGGAGGAGCATTCCTCATGCTGAAAGCGCCACGAGGTTGGTCTGGATTGGCCTTTTGCGCCCCAAATGGCTCTACATCAGTGGCAGGCATTGCGACTGCGACTGCGCCTGGCTGAAGTGCTGTGGATGACAGATGGCGCGAACATGACAGCCTGTAGCCACACCCCAGATACTTATCTCGCAGTGCACTGACTGCGGTATCAATTTGAGTGGAAGCAGTCTCGGGGGATAAGGTTGCGATGGCCGTCACAGAAGATCTGCTCACTGTCGACTGGGGTTGTATGAGGACCGCATGCACGGACAGATGTTTTCCAACGACCGCTCGTACATCATCCTCGGTGGTGCTCAGTGGCAGACCAGACAGCTGTATGGTCGGTCGTGGAGCAGTATCTTCTTCTGCTTCCACTTCTTCGTCCGGAGCATATCGTTCTCTATCCCGCGCGTCTTCTCGACGGCCATCTCCCATGTACTCTCTAGCGAATGCTTCCTGCTCACGACGCGCCTCTTGCTGTTCGCGCAGCTCATCTAGAGCTCGCTTTCTCTTCAGACTGGGCGGAGGACCAGGCACTGGACCTAGACTCCCTGGGCCGCTCCTCGGTGCTCCTCCCTGTCTGGAGCGCAAGCGAGCTCTAGATGAGCTGCGCGA